GGGAGTGCAGATTCTCCTAAGCTCCCTGTAAGTACCTAACAGTCTCGTGTGGCTCCAGCTCACACAGGAATATCCACGGCCCATATTTCCAAAAACTCTTTTCCTCCCACTCTGAATCCATCCTCTACTGCATGTTCCCCTCACAGAGCAGACACTGTTTTCTTCACATCCTCGGTTTGCCTGCCCATGACCCAGACTGACCTTTTTTTTGTAGAACTGCCTCTCCCTCTTTGGACAGTGTCTTTCTGCTACTGCACATGAAGATGTCCCGCCCTCCCCTGCTCACGGAGAGAGTGCCTGATCTGAGCTGGGCCATCCTATCCAGTACTTACCTGGAATAGAAGACAGGCAGGGTGGCCAAAGACTACATGAATCTCTGAAGCTCATCCACTTGAGAGAGAGACCCGGAAGATACTGGTCCTTCATTCCTGCTGTGTATATCCAATGTGACTGAGCTCTGAATAAAATGTACAAGTTATAATAATGTAGTAATTGACTCACCAAACTAGGACACGAACATGTTAGAGGGTGAGGTGTTGAGAGGTGTGTTTGGGGTGGTGGCGATAAGCGAGTATGTGAAGGAGAGATGGGGCCTAAACTCAGAAAGCAAAGACTAATAATAGCTATTTAGAGATAAGGAGCTGAATAATTATGTATACATGGGGCCTGCTGTTTTACTAAACAAATTTTGAAGTATACGTAACTTTGATGAAGTATCCTAAATGAAAAACATTTTGCCATATATTTTGTGTCTATATTTACATCCACATATATATTTCTATTCATTGTATTTTGAATATAAATTTGTACAGTCATGTTAATCCCTCTTTTCCTTTAAGGATTTGAGTTTGATGTCATGCATAACACGTGTCCCCACCGAACGACTACAGAAATGTTGGCAAAGGAAGCTCAGAGGAAATGGTAGGCAATACTACCCAGTTTTGGCCAGAAGAAGAAGATAGAAAGTATTCTCACACAATGTTAACAATGTGACTTGTTATATCATCTTTCCACAGTAATTTGGGCAGAAATTAGCAAAATCCGAAATGTATAAATACCTTGATCTGGCCATTCCATTTCCAGGTGTCTGCGCAGAAGTAGACAGGGGATGCACGACACATGTATGTGTCAGTCTGATCCCTGCAGCTGTGTTTGTAATAATACACATTGGAGCAATTTCACAGCCATCAGTTAGAGAAGGTTTGAAGAATGATCCACTTGTATCAAGAAGGATGTTTATAAGATCAAAGCCTTGTGGAAATGCTGGAGGCAATGGCGCTGATAGGAGCTCATGTGTATTGAACAATTACTATGTGAGAGGCATTGGGCTCCACGCTTTTCCTGCACAGCTCATTTAAACATTGGGCAACCTGAGTATTCCAGTTTAGTGCATTTGACATATAGAAATGGAGGCACAGAAAATTAATGTGTTTAACTTCAAATCCTGGCAGATTAGATTTCTCCCCCAAAGTCTGTGGCTTCACCAGAGGTGTGACTCAGGTTCTGTCATTCTCCATTTTAGAAATTTCCAGTGTTCCAAATATAAGCAGTTGAGGAAACAAACTCAAAACCCTAAACACCAGGATAAGTAAGATGTTTGTTGGGGGGTAATTAAAAATGGACTTTTTTTGCCCCAAGCAACAAAGAGACACGTTGGAAAATAGACAAGAGACAAGAAGTTTGTGTGTGTGTGTGTGTGTGTGTGTGTGTGTGTGTGTGTGTGTGTTTATATAAGATGGGGTTTCACCATGATGGCCAGGCTGGTCTTGAACTCCTAACTTCAGGTGATCCACCCACCTCCGCTTCCCAAAGTGCTAGGATTACAGGCGTGAGCCACAGCACCGGGCCTGAAGGGAAGTTTTAAGATATATTTGGTCCAAGGAAGAGACTCTTCAGATAGGTCATGTCCGCTAGAAACATTCATGTGACTGGATGGGCTCGAACCAGCGACGTTTCAGTCAACATCTGACAGCACCAACGTAGTGGTCCAGAGACACTGCTTGTGAAACAGTGAAAGCTGCTGCTCAAGTGTCATTCATCATTGTCAGATACTGTCATTTAGTAGTACAGGGAGGTATTCTCTGTTCCAAGCTCGAGTACCCATAACTCTTCTGTTTTGTTGAAACTTCCTCCCCACCACCAGCCTCTTTAGAAGACTGGGAGCTCTGCAAACATCCAGGCCAAGAGTCCTGTCCTTGTGCATGTTTGGGCATTGATCCAGGCCCAAATCTGTGGGAGACTCCTCCACGCACATTCCAGGTGCCCAGGTGACAGCGGCAGTCTCTAGGTCTGGGGTCGTCCACTTTCCCATTTCTAGCCCACCTCACCCATCATGAAGCCTGGTCGGGGTTGCCAGAGACTCAAGTGAGCAGGTGTTGATATTTGTGTGTGTGTTTGCCAGAAGAAAACAGGAAACCTGCTGTGTGCCCACCTGGCTGATCCCTCCACCTTTCTAGCCAAGGGCTTCATGAGCCAGGGCCCTTGGGGTTGCTCACAAGGCAGCCCCTCACCGAGTAGGCATTGCTTCATTATGTGTATGTACATGTATATGTACATGTATATGTATATGTGTATGTATATGATCCTCTGGTTGTATTCCTTAAATATATATATATAGAAATCCTTAAATATATAATTTTAATAACAAATGTTTAAAAGAGTACTTTACAGTTGCATTAGGAAATATAAATTATATAGCAAAAATCTGAAAGCCAGCCAGGCTCAGCTTCAAATCCCAGCAACTTGGAAGGCTGTGGCAGGAGGGTCGCCTGAGCTCAGAAATTTAAAACTAGCCTGGGCAACATAGTGAGACCTCATCTCTACTGACAACTATAAACATTATCCAGGCGTGGCGGTGTGAGCCTGTAGCCCCAGGTGCTCAGTGGATGAGGCCCTAGGATCTCATGGGCCTGAGAACTCCATGCTGCAGTGAGCTGGGACTGTGCCCCTGTACTTCAGCCTGAGAGAAAGAGTGAGATTCTGTCTGGAAACAAATGGAAAAAAAAAATAAATAAGATGTGAAAGCCTGTATACTGAAGACTGCCAGGTATTGCTGAGAGCAGTTAAACACCTTTGGAATAGAGGATGTTCCTTCTTGCATTTCAAGATTGCTTTTGTTTTGGGGACACACTTGCTATTTCTTAGGAATATGAAGTTCTTCTCAACCATGCCTATGAAAAAAGCCAATTTAAGAGAGTTGTATTAAATCTGTGGATTGCTTTGAGTTGTATTTTTACCTTAACCATGTTATATCTTTTAACCCATGGACTCAAGATATCTTTCCACTTATTTAAGTCTTTAATCTCCTTGAGGAATATTCACAGAACTGGAAAAAAAACAACTTAAACTTCATATGGAACCAGAAAAGAGCACGCATAGCCACGACAATCCTAAGAAAAAAGAACAAAGCTGGAGGCATCGCACTACCTGACTTCAAACTATACTACAGGGCTACGATAATCAAAACAGTATGGTACTGGTACCAAAACAGAGATATAGAGCAACAGAACAGAACAGAGGCCTCAGAAGTCACATCACACATCTACAACCATCTGATCTTTGACAAACCTGACAAAAACAAGCAATAGGGAAAGGATTCCCTGTTTAATAAATGGTGTTGGAAAAACTGGCTAGCCATGTGCAGAAAGCTGAAACTGGACTCCTTCCTTGCACTTTAATCAAAAATTAACTCCAGATAAATAAAAGATTTAAACATGAGACCTAACACCATAAAAACCCATGAAGAAAGCCTAGGAAATACCATGCAGGACATAGGCATAGGCAAGGACTTCATGACTTAAACACCAAAAGCATTGGAAACAAAAAGCCAAAATAGACGAAATAGATCTAATGAAACTTAAAAGCTTCTGCACAGCAAAAGAAACTATCATTAGAATGAACCAGAAACCAACAAAATGGGGGAAAAAATTTGCAAGTTACCCATCTGACAAAAAACTAATAATCAGAATCTATAAAGAACTAAAACAAATATACAAGAGAAAAAGCAACCCCATCAAAGAGTAGGCAAAAGCTACCAACAGACACTTTTCAAAAAAAGACATTTATGTGGCCAACAAACATAAGAAAAAATGCTCATCACTGGTCATTAGAAAAATGCAATTCAAAATCATGTAGAGATACCATCTCACACCAGTTAGAATGGCGATCATTAAAAAATCAGGAGACAACAGATGCTGGAGAGGATGTTGAGAAATAGGAATGCTTTTACACTGTTGGTGGGAGTGTAAATTACTTCAATCATTGTGGAAGACAATGTGGCAATTCCTCAAGAATATAGAAGTAGAAATAGCATTTGACCCAGCAATCCCATTACTGGGTATATACACAAAGGATTATATATCCTTCTATTATAAAGATACATGCACACACATATTCATTGTGGCACTGTTTACAATAGCAAAGACTTACAACCAACCCAAATGCCCATCAAGGACACAGTGGAAAAAGAAAATGTTGCACATATACACCATGGAATACTATGCAGACATAAAAAAGGATGAGTTCATGTCCTTTGCAGGGACATGGATGAAGCTGGAAACCATCATTCTCAGCAAACTGACACAAGAACAGAAAACCAAACACCACGTTTTCACTCATAAGAGAATGTTGAACAATGAGAACACAAGAACACAGGAGGGGAATATCACAAACTGAGGTCTGTTGAGGGTGGGGGGCAAGGGAGGGATAGCAGGGGATGGGAATATTGAGAAAAAATAGCATTAGGACAAATACATAACGTAAGTGATGGAGGGATGGAGGCAGCAAACCACCATGGCATGTGTATACCTATGTAACAATCCTGCAAGGTCTGCACATGCACCCCAGAACTTAAAGTAAAATAAAGAAAAAAAGAAAAGAAAAAGAAGATACACCCTGGGATGCGATTTGTTCCCAGTAATTTGAAATATTTACAGAATGGTTAAATGGTCACTTGACAGTTATACTATAAACAGGAGTAAGATACACAAAGTTAAACATCATTACTTTGAGAAGATAAATTTTAATGTCATTTTCAATCTTTAAAATCTTTGGTTTTATTTTGAAAAAAATCTTCAATCTTAAAGAGATCACTGCAAAAAAAAGGATTATAATCCATTAGCTTTTTCAAGTAATAAACTTGGAATACGTTCTTATGAATGTCAACAGTCAATGCAGTGTGGAATATTAAGAACTGACTTTCATATAACAGGTAAGTTTAGAGAGATTACATTTCATGAGAAAATGTTTAATGAATTTTAATGGTGTATGTTTATTTAAATCTAATTTTCTGTTTTTGGAAATAGTTGTCTGTTGCTTTTAGTGTATTCTCCTTCCTGTCCACATATGTGGAATCTACCTATTCTCTTTTGAAATAGTTTAAAAAACTCAAAGAGAATGGCCTGGGCTTTGCATGTCCTTAGTCTGATAGACATTAAGTGAGTCTGGCTACTCACTTAAATAGATATTAGCAGCTAAGAAAACTACATCTCTTGTCAGCCAGAAATTAACAAAGGCCTCAAAATCAGTGAATCCTCTGTTTTGCTGTGGCCCTATGTGCTGATAGTCATATCTTAAGAGAAAAAATTGTAATAGTATAGATTAAAATTAACTTTGGCAAAAATTAAAATTCAGGCAGGAAATTTTTTTTCCAACAACAGAAACTAGGAAAAGCAAAGATACAGTAAAAACTGAAAATTTCCAGTAGAGAGACATAAATATAATAATTGACACCATCAGGGATGATTAATGAATAAAATATTTAGGGAATGATCATTTGAACACAGCATATTAATACCTTTAAAAAACCATTTTTCCAATTATTTCGGTATAAATAAGGTGTCTCTGAAAGGTACAGATCTGGCATCACAATAATGGTGATAAACAAATGATGGAACAGTCCTGGTACCACAATCATGGTGGTAGACAAATGGTGGAACAGTCCTGGTATCACGATCATGGTGGTAGACAAATGCTGGAAGAGTCCTGGTATCACGATCATGGTGGTAGACAAATGGTGGAACAGTCCTGGTATCACGATCATGGTGGTAGACAAATGGTGGAAGAGTCCTGGTATCACGATCATGGTGGTAGACAAATGGTGGAACAGTCCTGGTATCACGATCAAGGTGGTAGACAAATGGTGGAACAGTCCTGGTATCACGATCATGGTGGTAGACAAATGGTGGAAGAGTCCTGGTATCACAATAATGGTGATAAACAAATGGTGGAAGAGTCCTGGTATCAGAATCACGGTGGAAGACACACGGGACCTTCTCTGCCTGCAGATGGGTGAGGTAGTATTGACCCTGCAGTGTTCCCAGAAAAACACTTCGGCTGAATTTAATCATGAGGACATTTTCAAACTTCAGAGTGTAGAGCATGGAGCCAGACAACTGACCTGTTCTCTACAAACAGGCCCATGTCACCACCATCAATGACAACAAAAGGTGAGGAGACACTTTGGGTTCAAAAGAACTAAAGAAATGTAGCTACATTATCTTTTTACTCTTTTTCAACCCAATATGTCTCTTCTTTCGGTTGTGTGATTTGTGGTGACATGGGCTTTCTGAAGGAGAAAGGTCACTTGTGCTTCTCACTGGTCTACATTCTAAAGTTGTCTGGCAATTATCTCAGGCTATAAAACTCAGGCTAAGTGTTTCAGCCAGAACATGGTGGTGTTCATACTCTGCACTGGCAGAGTCCAATGTGACATGTTGTCTTAGTGTGGAAATATGACCCCTACCTGGTAGACCAGAGGGAGTCTCATCACCGTCACAGTAAGAAACCTACTGTCCATGTCCAAAGTCAAGCGAACACGCTCTTCCACAAATAAAAAAATAACATATGTGTAAGCCTGGCATGTGAAATAAAACTCAGGATAAGCTGCATAAGTTGAATACAATACATCCAGTGAGTACCAGAAGACTTCAGGTTCTTCTGCTTCCACCAGCTCCATGCTGAGCCTAGAAAAGGAGGAAAAACCAAAGAATAAGTCAGGGAAAATAAGACACCGCAGAGCCCCAGCTAGACTTCATCGGGAGCACAAGAAAGTGGTTAATGAAGAAAAAACATAGATCCATTAATGACATAACAAATTATTGCTTTATGTTGCTATGGGCAAGAGTAGGGTAAAAAAGAATGAAAAAGAAAGAGAGAGGGAAAGTAAGCTCAGTGAACTTAGTGTCCAGGTGACACACTGATGAGGGAGTAAAAGGACACTCTGAGTGAGTACCCTCAGGACACACAGCGTACACTGATCATAAAAACAAGTATCTCAACCTATGGTAGTTAGTAAATGATAAGCGGAGGGAGAAATGGAAACCTAAGTATCTACCGCAACGAAAATCAACAGAAATGTTAGTACGAATCATTCAGACTTCATTGAAAACATGGTATCGATATTGTCAGCCCACTCTTTTCCCTGGACCTGGTGTCTCCAGGTGTCAACACAAAATTAGCTGTTCACAATTGCTCAAAGTTACCTGGGGCATGGTGGGCCTTGGTCTTCTTCTTCTTCTTAGTCATTTTTAATCTCTGCAACAAATTCAGACAGGGACAGACAAAATAAGCCAGTTCTCCTACACCCATAACCATCCACTGTCTAATCCCTGCACAGGGAACTCACGCTCCTCAGCATGAGAAAAGGACCAACTGATGAATACGAACAACCTTTACTGAGAAATCTGTGGAACCAGCATAGTTCCTCATGCCTGAAATCTGAACTATTTAGGAGGCAAAAGAGGGCAGATCCCTGGACCCCAGGAGTTCAGGACCAACCTGGCAAACATGGTGAAACACTGCCTCTACTGAAAATACAATAGTTAGCCAGGAGTGGTGGTGCCCACAAGGAATCCCACCTGATTGGAAGGCTGCGGCACCAGTACCAGGGTACTCCCTGCTCTTAATGATGCCACTTACAGATACCACAGGTTCTAATAGGAGGAGGGTCCCCTTTAAGCTCCCCACAGCAGGAACTGTGCGCTATCATCGTGTTTCCCCCAGTGTCCCCAGAACACTGCTTTGCCCACTGGGCCTCAACAGAAACCAAAACAAAATAGAAGTTCAGTAGCCTCAGACATTTAGACCAATAGACTAGATGCTACTTGTCCGCAGGATCTTATATAGTATAGAGAGGATTCCTATAAGAGGAACATGGATTTAGCCTCTTGCTGAGAAAAACAGGTGGTTCCAAGCCTGTGTCAGAAATCGATAGCTGGGATTGTGACCCTAGTCCCACACCCATCTTACTGCAGATGTGGAAAAGTTGCTAAACACTTTGGCCTCTAACTTTCATCTTTACCAAAATGTTAAAATACCCATTTCTATTTTCTGCAAGTATAAGCATAAGAAATTAATTTTGATGAAGAGAATGGTTAGTTACTCAAGACAACACAGGACATCATGCATCACTTTCGTGGTAGTCAACCTATAGAACTTACTGTATGACTTCAGCCGGTACTTCAGGAAGTAGGCCACCAGGCTCAAAGGAAGTCTATTTTTCCTTTGGGCTCCGACATTCGGTTTCTTTTCTTCCTGTTGGGAGCAGAATTTCTCAATGCCTTCTGGAAGATTCACCTCTGGGTATTTTCTGAAAGGAGGCTTGCCAGGTGGGGCAGAACACAGAAAGCCAGGGACTGGGGAGAAGAAAACCAAACACATGATGGGTTAGAATCTGGTGACATCAAATTGGTTTAATCAGGACTCCGGGATGTCACTGACAGCCTTGCCTATTGGACATGTTGTTTCCCTGCTTTGACTCTTCTCATCTCCACTCCTGATCTCCTTAAAGTCAACTTGTCTTAGCTACTCAGTCACCCTGAAACCAGGATATAAACTCGTCTGCCTTTATCTTGCTTATACGTTCTGAAGGATCCTATATGTTAGAGAGGATTCCTGAAAACACGATTTAGTCTCTTGCTGAGAAAAACAGGTGGTTCTGTGCCTGTGTCAGGAATCATTAGCTGCGATATTAACCCTAGTCCCACACCGAACTTACTGCAGACGTGGAAGAGTTGCTAAATACCTTGGCCTCTGACCTCCATCTTTACCAAAATGTTACAATACTCATTGCTATTTCCCTAGAAGTATGGGAAGGATTAAATTAACTTTGAAGATGAGAGTTTATCGCTTGTCAGAGACAAGACAGGACGTTGTTCAGCACTTCCGTTATGGCGAACCTTTAGAACTTACCTTCCGTCTTCAGCCGGCAGCCCAGGTAGTAGGCCACTTGACACATAAGAAGTTTCTTTTTGCAGTCTCTGTACTTCTGTTCTTCATCGTGATCTTTTCGATCTTCTGTAAACAAATTCGGAAGAGCAGGTCACGTTAAGCAAATCACACTTCACACAAGACAAAAGCAGTGTCCAGTCACAAGGACTTAAAATATTCTCAGTGTAAGGATGTGTTATTCTGACAGCAATGTTCTAATGGGCCCTAGACTAAGTCCCCAAGAAGTGGATGAGCCTGTGTTTGAGATCCATGGGACAAAATCTCCCTCATCTGGTAGATCTTAATCACGTATCCTCTGACCTAAGTCAGTGCAAAAATTAAAATGTTTTCCCCCAAATCTTTCAAAAATCGCCCTAAATACTTTCCAGGAGCATTGCTGCAATACTGATTTATCCCATCATATATCATGGTAAATGCATAGGTTAGAGAAATTTATATAGGAGACTGGACCAACTGATGAATACGAACGACCTTTACTGAGAAAAGAATCTGTGGAACCAGCATGGTGCCTCATGCCTGGAATCCGAGCAATTTAGGAGCCACAGGAGGGCAGATCCCTTGACCTCAGGACTTCAGGACCAGCCTGGCCAACATGGTGAAACCCCACCTCTACTGAAAATACAATAGTTAGCCAGGAGTGGTGGTGCCCATCGGGGATTCCAGGTGATTGGGAGGCTGAGGCACAAGTACCAGGGTACTCCCTGCTCTTGATGATGCCACTTACAGATACCACAGGTTCTAATAGGAGGAGGGTCCCCTTTAAGCTCCCCACAGCAGGAACTGTGCGCTATGATCGTATTTCCCCCAGTGTCCCCAGAACACTGCTTTGCCTACTGGGCCTCAACAGAAACCAAAACAAAATAGAAGTTCAGTAGCCTCAGATTTAGACCAATAGACTAGATGCTACTTGTCTGCAGGATCTTATATAGTATAGAGAGGATTCCTATAAGAGGAACATGGATTTAGCCTCTTGCTGAGAAAAACAGGTGGTTCCAAGCCTGTGTCAGAAATCGATAGCCGGGATTGTGACCCTAGTCCCACACCCATCTTACTGCAGATGTGGAAAAGTTGCTAAACACTTTGGCCTCTAACTTTCATCTTTACCAAAATGTTAAAATACCCATTTCTATTTTCTGCAAGTATAAGCATAAGAAATTAATTTTGATGAAGAGAATGGTTAGTTACTCAAGACAACACAGGACATCATTCACCACTTTCATGGTAGTCAACCTATAGGACTTACTGTATGATTTCAGCCGGTACTTCAGGAAGTAGGCCACCAGGCTCAAAGGAAGTCTATTTTTCCTTTGGGCTCCGACATTCGGTTTCTTTTCTTCCTGTTGGGAGCAGAATTTCTCAATGCCTTCTGGAAGATTCACCTCTGGGTATTTTCTGAAAGGAGGCTTGCCAGGTGGGGCAGAACACAGAAAGCCAGGGACTGGGGAGAAGAAAACCAAACACATGATGGGTTAGAATCTGGTGACATCAAATTGGTTTAATCAGGACTCCGGGCCTATTGGACATGTTGTTTCCCTGCTTTGACTCTTCTCATCTCCACTCCTGATCTCCTTAAAGTCAACTTGTCTTAGCTACTCAGTCACCCTGAAACCAGGATATAAACACTTCTGCCTTTATCTTGCTTATACGTTCTGAAGGATCCTATATGTTAGAGAGGATTCCTGAAAACATGATTTAGTCTCTTGCTGAGAAAAACAGGTGGTTCTGTGCCTGTGTCAGGAATCATTAGCTGCGATATTAACCCTAGTCCCACACCGAACTTACTGCAGACGTGGAAGAGTTGCTAAATACCTTGGCCTCTGACCTCCATCTTTACCAAAATGTTACAATACTCATTGCTATTTCCCTAGAAGTATGGGAAGGATTAAATTAACTTTGAAGATGAGAGTTTATCGCTTGTCAGAGACAAGACAGGACGTTGTTCAGCACTTCCGTTATGGCGAACCTTTAGAACTTACCTTCCGTCTTCAGCCGGCAGCCCAGGTAGTAGGCCACTTGACACATAAGAAGTTTCTTTTTGCAGTCTCTGTACTTCTGTTCTTCATCGTGATCTTTTCGATCTTCTGTAAACAAATTCGGAAGAGCAGGTCACGTTAAGCAAATCACACTTCACACAAGACAAAAGCAGTGTCCAGTCACAAGGACTTAAAATATTCTGTGTAAGGATGTGTTATTCTGACAGCAATGTTCTAATGGGCCCTAGACTAAGTCCCCAAGAAGTAGATGAGCCTGTGTTTGAGATCCATGGGACAAAATCTCCCTCATCTGGTAGATCTTAATCACGTATCCTCTGACCTAAGTCAGTGCAAAAATTAAAATGTTTTCCCCCAAATCTTTCAAAAATCGCCCTAAATACTTTCCAGGAGCATTGCTGCAATACTGATTTATCCCATCATATATCATGGTAAATGCATAGGTTAGAGAAATTTATATAGGAGACTGGACCAACTGATGAATACGAACGACCTTTACTGAGAAAAGAATCTGTGGAACCAGCATGGTGCCTCATGCCTGGAATCCGAGCAATTTAGGAGCCACAGGAGGGCAGATCCCTTGACCTCAGGACTTCAGGACCAGCCTGGCCAACATAGTGAAACCCCACCTCCACTGAAAATACAATAGTTAGCCAGGAGTGGTGGTGCCCATCGGGGATTCCAGGTGATTGGGAGGCTGAGGCACAAGTACCAGGGTACTCCCTGCTCTTGATGATGCCACTTACAGATACCACAGGTTCTAATAGGAGGAGGGTCCCCTTTAAGCTCCCCACAGCAGGAACTGTGCGCTATGATCGTATTTCCCCCAGTGTCCCCAGAACACTGCTTTGCCTACTGGGCCTCAACAGAAACCAAAACAAAATAGAAGTTCAGTAGCCTCAGATTTAGACCAATAGACTAGATGCTACTTGTCCGCAGGATCTTAAATAGTATAGAGAGGATTCCTATAAGAGGAACATGGATTTAGCCTCTTGCTGAGAAATACAGGTGGTTCCAAGCCTGTGTCAGAAATCGATAGCTGGGATTGTGACCCTAGTCCCACACCCATCTTACTGCAGATGTGGAAAAGTTGCTAAACACTTTGGCCTCTAACTTTCATCTTTACCAAAATGTTAAAATACCCATTTCTATTTTCTGCAAGTATAAGCATAAGAAATTAATTTTGATGAAGAGAATGGTTAGTTACTCAAGACAACACAGGACATCATTCACCACTTTCATGGTAGTCAACCTATAGAACTTACTGTATGATTTCAGCCGGTACTTCAGGAAGTAGGCCACCAGGCTCAAAGGAAGTCTATTTTTGTGGGCTCCGACATTCGGTTTCTTTTCTTCCTGTTGGGAGCAGAATCTCTCAATGCCTTCTGGAAAATTCACCTCTGGGTATTTTCTGAAAGGAGGCTTGCCAGGTGGGGCAGAACACAGAAAGCCAGGGACTGGGGAGAAGAAAACCAAACACATGATGGGTTAGAATCTGGTGACATCAAATTGGTTTAATCAGGACTCCGGGATGTCACTGACAGCCTTGCCTATTGGACATGTTGTTTCCCTGCTTTGACTCTTCTCATCTCCACTCCTGATCTCCTTAAAGTCAACTTGTCTTAGCTACTCAGTCACCCTGAAACCAGGATATAAACTCGTCTGCCTTTATCTTGTTTATACGTTCTGAAGGATCCTATATGTTAGAGAGGATTCCTGAAAACATGATTTAGTCTCTTGCTGAGAAAAACAGGTGGTTCTGTGCCTGTGTCAGGAATCATTAGCTGCGATATTAACCCTAGTCCCACACCGAACTTACTGCAGACGTGGAAGAGTTGCTAAATACCTTGGCCTCTGACCTCCATCTTTACCAAAATGTTACTATACTCATTGCTATTTCCCTAGAAGTATGGGAAGGATTAAATTAACTTTGAAGATGAGAGTTTATCGCTTGTCAGAGACAAGACAGGACGTTGTTCAGCACTTCCGTTATGGCGAACCTTTAGAACTTACCTTCCGTCTTCAGCCGGCAGCCCAGGTAGTAGGCCACTTGACACATAAGAAGTTTCTTTTTGCAGTCTCTGTACTTCTGTTCTTCATCGTGATCTTTTCGATCTTCTGTAAACAAATTCGGAAGAGCAGGTCACGTTAAGCAAATCACACTTCACACAAGACAAAAGCAGTGTCCAGTCACAAGGACTTAAAATATTCTCAGTGTAAGGATGTGTTATTCTGACAGCAATGTTCTAATGGGCCCTAGACTAAGTCCCCAAGAAGTGGATGAGCCTGTGTTTGAGATCCATGGGACAAAATCTCCCTCATCTGGTAGATCTTAATCACGTATCCTCTGACCTAAGTCAGTGCAAAAATTAAAATGTTTTCCCCCAAATCTTTCAAAAATCGCCCTAAATACTTTCCAGGAGCATTGCTGCAATACTGATTTATCCCATCATATATCATAGTAAATGCATAGGTTAGAGAAATTTATATAGGAGACTGGACCAACTGATGAATACGAACGACCTTTACTGAGAAAAGAATCTGTGGAACCAGCATGGTGCCTCATGCCTGGAATCCGAGCAATTTAGGAGCCACAGGAGGGCAGATCCCTTGACCTCAGGACTTCAGGACCAGCCTGGCCAACATGGTGAAACCCCACCTCTACTGAAAATACAATAGTTAGCCAGGAGTGGTGGTGCCCATCGGGGATTCCAGGTGATTGGGAGGCTGAGGCACAAGTACCAGGGTACTCCCTGCTCTTGATGATGCCACTTACAGATACCACAGGTTCTAATAGGAGGAGGGTCCCCTTTAAGCTCCCCACAGCAGGAACTGTGTGCTATCATCATGTTTCCCCCAGTGTCCCCAGAACACTGCTTTGCCTACTGGGCCTCAACAGAAACCAAAACAAAATAGAAGTTCAGTAGCCTCAGACATTTAGACCAATAGACTAGATGCTACTTGTCTGCAGGATCTTATATAGTATAGAGAGGATTCCTATAAGAGGAACATGGATTTAGCCTCTTGCTGAGAAAAACAGGTGGTTCCAAGCCTGTGTCAGAAATCGATAGCTGGGATTGTGACCCTAGTTTCACACCCACCTTACTGCAGATGTGGAAAAGTTGCTAAACACTTTGGCCTCTAACTTTCATCTTTACCAAAATGTTAAAATACCCATTTCTATTTTCTGCAAGTATAAGCATAAGAAATTAATTTTGATGAAGAGAATGGTTAGTTACTGAAGACAACACAGGACGTCATTCGCCACTTTCATGGTAGTCAACCTATAGAACTTACTGTATGACTTCAGCCGGTACTTCAGGAAGTAGGCCACCAGGCTCAAAGGAAGTCTATTTTTCCTTTGGGCTCCGACATTCGGTTTCTTTTCTTCCTGTTGGGAGCAGAATTTCTCAATGCCTTCTGGAAGATTCACCTCTGGGTATTTTCTGAAAGGAGGCTTGCCAGGTGGGGCAGAACACAGAAAGCCAGGGACTGGGGAGAAGAAAACCAAACACATGATGGGTTAGAATCTGGTGACATCAAATTGGTTTAATCAGGACTCCGGGATGTCACTGACAGCCTTGCTTATTGGACATGTTGTTTCCCTGCTTTGACTCTTCTCATCTCCACTCCTGATCTCCTTAAAGTCAACTTGTCTTAGCTACTCAGTCACCCTGAAACCAGGATATAAACACTTCTGCCTTTATCTTGCTTATATGTTCTGAAGGATCCTATATGTTAGAGAGGATTCCTGAAAACATGATTTAGTCTCTTGCTGAGAAAAACAGGTGGTTCTGTGCCTGTGTCAGGAATCATTAGCTGCGATATTAACCCTAGTCCCAAACCGAACTTACTGCAGACGTGGAAGAGTTGCTAAATACCTTGGCCTCTGACTTCCATGTTTACCAAAATGTTACAATACTCATTGCTATTTCCTTAGAAGTATGGGAAGGATTAAATTAACTTTGAAGATGAGAGTTTATCGCTTGTCAGAGACAAGACAGGACGTTGTTCAGCACTTCCGTTATGGCGAACCTTTAGAACTTACCTTCCGTCTTCAGTCGGCAGGCCAGGTAGTAGGCCACTTGACACATAAGAAGTTTCTTTTTGCTGTCTCTGTATTTCAGTTCTTCATTGTGATCTTTTCGATCTTCTGTAAGCAAATTCGAAATAACAGGTCACGTTAAGCAAATCACATTTCATATAAGACCAAAGCAGTGTTCCATCATACCACAAGCATCTAAAATACTCTCAGTGTAAAAATGTGATATTCTGACAGAAAGATTCTAGGGTGCCCTAGATGAAGCCTGGTGAGTAGGTGTGCCTGCTTTCCAGAAGCAGAGGTCAAAATCTCCCTCTATGGGTAGACCATAATGCCATATTCTCTCCCTGAGTCTATGCAAAGTTAAACCTAATTTGTTCCCAGAAAATCTCCAAAATTAGTCAAACTATTTTCTGGGAGTGTTGCTGCAATAATGACTTATCTCATCAGCTATCAAGGTTATTGAATGGTTAGAGGCATCTAGGCTGAAACTGGGCAGATATGTAAATTCTAACAACAGTTACTTGAAAAAGAATCTGTTAGCTTTGCGCAATGGCAGTATCGTAGTCAATGAGGTTTATCCATCATTAGATTATCAATAACTGAAAACTTTCCCCAATACCCCACCGAGATGACAGGCAATAGAGTCGGCATTGCCAATTTTTGACAGTCTCTAGGGAGGAATTAGAAAAAAACAATAAAATGAAAAAAAAATCTATGGGCTGGGCATAGTGGCTCACGCATGTAATCTCAGCACTCTGAAAGGTGGAGGTGAACACTTCACGAGGTCAGGAGATTGGGACCATCCTGGCTAACCTGGTGAAAGCCATTCTCTACTAAAAATACTAAGAAACTATCTGGGCGTGGTAGCACACGCCTACAGTCTCAGCTACCTGGGAGGCTGAGGCAGCAGAATCGTCTTAACCCACGAGGCAGAGGTTGCAGTGACCTGAGATTGTGCAACTGAAGTCCAGCCTGAATAACACAAAAAGACTCCATCTCAAACAAAAAAAAAAACAAACAAAATCTGTGATTTGAAAGGACAAGGCAGGTGAACAATTTAAGGTCAGGAGTTCAAGCCCAGCCTGGTCAATAAGGTGAAACCTCGTTTCTACTAAAAATACAAAAATTCACTTGGTGTGGTGGTGGCCACCTGCAATCCCAGCTACTCAGGAGTCAGAGGCAGGAGAATCACTGGAGTCCATGAAGTGGAGATTGCAGTAAGCCCAGATGGTGCCACTGCACTCCAGCCTGGGTGACAAAGAAAGACTCCATCTCAACCACAATGTGATGCTACACTGAAAAAATCACATCGGCCATTGCACTGAGGGGGTGGACAGCCAGGGGTGAGCCTTGCTTGATGGAAACATATCAGCAAGGTAAAGAAATGTTTTCATCTTGGTTTCAAGGTGACTGTGCAGCTAAGCAAGCTGACTCAAAAGAGTTCAAGACTGAAGCTCAGAGCAGTGAAACCTGGGGAACAATATCTCCAAATGAATAGGCAAGGCTCCAAGTTTCCTTAAAAAAAAAATAAAAACACCATGAACATCGTTCAGGGACAGATGACATAATCACAGGTGATGAAAGATACCAAATCAAAGGTAGGAGACCTGACAGACACCTACTGTACACTTCCTGCACTCAGGTGACCATGAGTTTGTCACACTGGCCTGGGGTCTGGTAACTTCATACTTGGGCCTGGGAGACAAACTCATGGCATGACCTGAGGAAGAGAGAAAAATTCGCTGATATCTGTGTTTAGTATCCCATCATACGTATTTATTCAAACCAATTTGTGTGTATAGAGCCTGTCTTCAGAGTTGATCTTCCTCAGCCTAGACAGAGGTACCAAAAACAAGGAATGTAGAGGTTACCTGTAAGAATGATGAGCACATCCTCCGCAACATCATCAGATGATGCACTCTGTACAAACAGCACAGAGTTCACGCTCTCTTCCTCAAATATGATTTCACTGGTGTCTCCGTGAGGCTGGCTCGTGTCAGTAGGCCCAGAGTTTTTTGAATGAGTGATGACACATTCCTCTAGTGAGTCTTCAGGGACTTTCTTGACTTCAAGCTTCTGCACCTCCCTGATGAGCCAGATGGGATAGAGATGACAAAGATTAAACAAAGGGTGATTGGAACCCAGGAATTCCTGGCTGGTTTTCTCAGGAGGAATTAGAGTGGTCCCAGAAGGCAAATAGGAGGTTCCCTTTGAGAGGAAACAGGCAATCCTCTGCTCTGCAACAAAGCATGGCTGCCATGAAAACCGGAGAGAAAAAGAGAACTGGTATTCATCACACTGTGCAGAAAAAAGCTGAGAACAAAGACTCAGTTATCCCTGTATAATTCAGACATGGCACTCAGCACATACAAAGAAGCAAAACAGCTGCCACAACCTGTGTCTAAGTTGGGTTGAATGGAGCATATTGTGGGCAAGGAAATGCAGGCTTTTGGCCCATGGGAGATGCCAGAGAGGCTGAGATTCTAGACCTTTTCCATACTTTACCAAGCATTACTTGCTCCAGATTCTTCAGTGTTACCTGGGGGCAGGTGACTCCCATATTTTCTCAGCCTCCACAACATGAACGTCTTCATCCATATCTTTGGCATTTTCTGCAAGTACAGATGTGTTCATTGAGATATTTCCCATTTTGCACTCTGCAAGCACAGTCAACCCAATGTGCACAGGGACATGAACGTCTGTGCATGGGTCCCTGTTCTACTGAAAGCTCTCGTGATTTCTCTTTAACACAATGCCCTGGCATGGTTTCCTGATCTACCATGCGATGCATTTCTGATCCGGAGGGTCACCATCAAGATGAGGCCAAATGTTGAAAAGACCTTCTGCTCCCACATCACTGGAGGCTTGTGCAGCTGCTCTCTGGAATTTTGCAGCTGTCTCCCCCATCCTGAAAAAGATCTGATGCCCAGGGACAGGCTTGCTGTCCTGTCACAGCTCACATTTACAACCTATTTCTCTTAGGAGAGGACAAACAAACTTGTCCCACAATCCTCTGCACATCAGGTGACTTCACAGGCCTTCCAAGTGGCTTCTGATGTATTCAGAAACACTCTCTCCATGGGGAGTGTGCCAGTCTGAACCACATCCTAACACCAAATACCCACACGGCAAGTGCTGCCTCCAACACCACACAGCGAGGGGCTTCATCTCATTTGGTTAAGCAGTCATATGTGTTCACACATTTGAAAGCTTCAGACACTGCAATATGCCTGCCTTCGCAGATGGAGAAAAGAAATTTGCCTGACTTTGCAGATGGAAAGACAGAAAGTCAGGAAGGAGGAATCAATTGCTCACTGACAGTTACTGAAAACACTGCTGACGATACAGCCTGGGAACCTTCATTCTTAATCCAGAGATCTTTCCACTCCAACAACCCCTCTCCTGTCACAGCTTCCTTCCTGTCCTTTACACCTGGACAGATGCTGCCTCTTGTTCCAAACACCATCTTCCACCAGATTATGTAAGGAGGAGAGTCTCTTTAACCTCCCTAAAGCGGGTACTGTGTATTATTACCACATTTCCCCCAGGAACTGAGAACAAAGCTTTCCCTACTGGACCTCAGCAGAAACTTGAAATGAATAGCAGTTCACAAGCCTCAGACATTTAGACCAACAGACTAGATGCTACTTGTCTGTAGAATCTTATACTGTACAGAGAGGATTCCTGTAAACATGGATTTAGCCTCTTGCTGAGAAAAACAGGTGGTTCCGTGCCTGCGTCAGAAATCCATAGCTGGGATTGTAACCACAGTCCCAATCCCAGATTACTGCAGACGTGGAAAAGTTGCTAAACACTTTGGCCTCTGTCTTCCATCTTTAACCAAATGGAAAAACACCAATTCCTATTTTCTAGGAGTATGGGAAATACGAGATTAGCTTTGAGAAAGAGAGTGGTCAGTTTCTCAAGACGAGGCAGGACATCGTTCATCACTTTTGTGGAGGTGAACCTATGGAACTCACCGTATGTCCTCAGCCGGTAGTTCAGGGAGTAGTCCACCTCTCTCAGAAGAAATTTATTTCGGCGGACTCCGACATCCGGTTTGTTATCTTCCCGCTGGGAGCAGGATTTCTCAATGGCTTCTGGAATGTTCACCCCTGGAACTGTTCCAGCAACAGCCCTGCCAGATGCCACCGTGATGACATTTGGGGCAGAACACGGAAAGCCAGGGACTGGAAAGGAGAAACCCAAACACATGTTGGGTTAGAAACTGGTGACATCAAATTGGTTTAATCAGGACTGAGGGATGTCACTAACGGCCTTGCCTATTGATTTGAAGATGTTATTTCCCCTGCACTCTCGATCACCCTAAAGTCAACTTGTCTTAGCTACTCAACTTGTCTTGACCTTGAAGCCTTGAAGTTGACAACTTCAAGGTCAACTTGTCTTGACCTTGAAGCAAGGACATCCACATTTCTACCTTGATCCTGCTTATAAGTTCTGAAGGATCTTATATGGTACAGAGAAGATTCCTGTAAACATGATTTAGCCTCTTGCAGAGAAAAGCAGGTGGTTTGGTGCCTGTGTTAGGAATCAATAGCTGGGATGTTAACCCTAGTCTCACACCTGTCTTACTGCAGATGTGGAAACGCTGCTACATAGTTTCGCCTCCGTATTAGGCCTTTAACAAAATGTTAAAGATGTAACATTGCTACTTCCCTAGAAGTATGGGAAGGATGAAATTCACTTTGAAAAAGAGAGTGTATGGTTTCTCAGAGACAAGACACGACACTGCTCAGCACTTCCGTGATGGTGAACCTATAGAACTTACCTTCCATCTTCAGCTGACAGGCCAGGTAGTAGACCACTTGACTCACAAAAAGTTTATTTTTGCTGTCTCCGTATCTCCGTTCTCCATCGTCATCTTCTTGAGTTCCTGTAATCAAATTCAGAAGAGCAGGTCACAGTAAGCAAATGGCACTTCGCACAAGACCAAATCAGTGTCCAGTCATAGCACGAGGACGTGAAATAGTCTCAATGGAAGAATGCGATACTATGATGGGAATGTTCTCACGGGGCCCTAGATTCGGTTGCCTCAGAAGCAGATGAGCCTGCTCTTCAGATCCATGGGACAAAATCTGTCTCGTCTTGTAGATCTCAATTCCACATCCTCTGACTTAAGTCAGTGCAAACAATTAAAACTTTTACCCCAAAATCTTCAAAACTTCCCGACTGCTTTCCAGAAGGGTTGCTGCAATACTGATCTAGCTCATCCTGTATCATGGTCAACGAAGGGTTAGAGAAATGTATACAGGAGATTGGACCGATGGATGTATTTTAACAACCTCTACTTAAAAAAGAATCTGTGGAGCCGGAGCCGGCATGGTGGCTCATGCCCGGAATCCCAGCACTTTAGGAGGTCTAGAAGGGCAGATCCCTCGACCTCAGGAGTTCAAGATTAGCCTGGCCAACATGGAGAAACCCCGCCTCTACACCAAACAAAAAGTAGCCAGGCGTGGTGGTGCCCACCAGAAATCCCAGCTAATTGGGAGGCTGAGGCACCGGTACCAGGGTACTTCCTGCTCTTGATGGGGCCACTTACAAACACCACAGGTTCTATCAGGAGCAGGATCCCCTTTCAGTTCCTCACAGGAGGTACTGTCTGCTATCGCTGTGTTTCCCCCAGGGTCCCCAACACACAGCTTTGCCTGCTGGGCCTCGGCCGAAACCGAAACCACGTGCAAGTTCAGCAGCCTCAGACATTTGGACCAACAGACTAGATGCTACTTCTCTGCAGGATCTTGTACCGTACAGAGAGGATTCCTGTCAACATGGATTCAGCCTCTTGCTGAGAAAAACAGGTGGTTCCGCGCCTGCGTCAGAAATCCCATAGCTGGGATTGTAACCCCAGTCCCACACCCACCTTACTGCAGACGTGGAAAACTTGCTAAACACTTTGGCCTCTGTCTTCCATCTTTAGCCAAATGGTAAAATACCCATTTGTGTTTTCTATGAGTATGGGAAAGATGAGATTAACTTTGAGGAAGAGAGCAGTCAGTTTCTCGAGACGAGGCAGGACGTCGTTCATCACCTTTGTGCAGGTGAACCTATGGAACTCACCGTATGTCCTCAGCCGGTAGTTCAGGGAGTAGTTCACCTCACTCAGAAGACATCTATTTCTGCGGACTCTGACATCCGGTTTGTTATCTTCCCACTGGGAGCAGGATTTCTCAATGGCTTCTGGAACGTTCACCCCTGGAATTGTTCCGGCAACAGCCCTGCCAGATGCCACCGTGATGACATTTGGGGCAGAACACGGAAAGCCAGGGACTGAAAAGGAGAAACCCAAACACATGATGGGTTAGAAACAGGTGATGTCAAATTGGTTTAATCAGGACTGAGGGATGTCACTGACAGTCTTGCCTATTCATTTGAAGATGTTATTTCCCCTGCACTCTCGATCACCCTAAAGTCAATTTGTCTTAGCTATTCATTGACCTTGAAGCCAGGACATCCACATTTCTACCTTGATCCTGCTTATAAGTTCTGAAGGATCTTATATGGTACAGAGAAGATTCCTGTAAATATGATTTAGCCTCTTGCAGAGAAAAGCAGGTGGTTTGGTGCCTGTGTTAGGAATCAATAGCTGGGATGTTAACCCTAGTCTGGCACCTGTCTTACTGCAGACGTGAAAATGTTGCTACATAGTTTTGCCTCCGTGTTACGCCTTTAACAAGATGTTAAAGATGTAACATTGCTACTTTCCTAGAAGTCTAAGAAGGACGAAATTGACTTTGAAAAAGAGAGTATATGGTTTCTCAGAGACAAGGCAGGACACTGCTCAGCACTTCCATGACAATGAACCTATAGAACTTACCTTCCGTCTTCAGCTGACAGGACAGGTAGTAGACTGCTCGACTCACTAGAAATTTATTTTTGTTGTCTCCGTATCTCCGTTCATCATCATCTTCTCGATCTTCTGTAAACAAATTCAGAAGAGCAGGTCACAGTAGGCAAATGGCACTTCACACAAGACCAAATCAGTGTCCAGTCATAGCATGAGGACGTGAAATAGTCTCAATGGAAGAATGCGATATTATGATGAGAATGTTCGAACGGGCCCTAGATTCGGTTGCCTCAGAAGCAGATGAGCCTGCTCTTCAGATCCATGGGACAAAATCTGTCTCATAGTGTAGATCTCAATCCCACATCCTCTGACTTAAGTCAGTGCAAACGATTAAAACTTTTACCCCAAAATCTTCAAAACTTCCCCTGACTGCTTTCCAGAAGGGTTGCTGCAATACTGATCTAGTTCATCCTGTATCATGGTCAACGAAGGGTTAGAGAAATGTATACAGGAGACTGGACCGAGGGATGTATTTTAACGTCTACTTAAAAAAGAATCTGTGGAGCCGGCATGGTGGCTCATGCCTGGAATCCCAGCACTTTAGGAGGTCTGGGAGGGCAGATCCCTTGACCTCAGGAGTTCGAGATCAGCCTGGCCAACACGGAGAAACCCCACCTCTACATCAAACACAAAAAGTAGCCAGGCGTGGTGGTGCCCACCAGAAATCCCAGCTAATTGCGAGGCTGAGGCACCGGTACCAGGGTACTTCCTGCTCTTGATGGGGCCACTTACATATACCACAGGTTCCATCAAAAGCAGGATCCCCTTTTAGTTCCTCACAGGAGGTACTGTCTGCTATCACTGTGTTTCCCCCAGGGTCCCCAACACACAGCTTTGCCTGCTGGGCCTCAGCAGAAACCGGAACACAATGGAAGTTCAGCAGCCTCAGACATTTAGACCAACAGACTAGATGCTACTTCTCTGCAGGATCTTATACTGTACAGAGAGGATTCCTGTAAACATGGATTTAGCCTCTTGCTGAGAAAAACAGGTGGTTCCGTGCCTGTGTCAGAAATCCATAGCTGGGATTGTGACCCCAGTCCCACACCCACCTTACTTCAGACGTGGAAAAGTTGCTAAACACTTTGGCCTCTGTTTTCCACCTTTAACCAAATGGTAAAATACCCATTTCTATTTTCTAGGAGTATAAGAAAGATAAGATTAACTTTGAGGAAGACAGCGGTCAGTTTCTCGAGACCAGGCAGGACATCATTCATCGCCTTTATGGAGGTAAACCTATGGAACTCACCGTATGCCCTCAGCCGGTAGTTCAGGGAGTAGTCCACCTCACTCAGAAGACATCTATTTCGGCGGACTCCGACATCCGGTTTGTTATCTTCCCGCTGAAAGCAGGATTTCTCAATGGCTTTTGGAACGTTCACCCCTGGAATTTTTCCGGCAACAGCCCTGCCAGATGCCACCGTGATGACATTTGGAAACAAACAGGGAAAGCCAGGGACTGGAAAGAAGAAACCCAAACACATGATGCGTTAGAAACTGGTGACGTCAAATTGGTTTAATCAGGACTGAGGGATGTCACTGACAGCCTTGCCTATTGATTTGAAGATCTTATTTCACCGAATTACTGTTCTCATCTGCACTCTTGATCACCACCCTAAAGTCAACTTGTCTTAGCTACTCATTGACCTTGAAGCCAGGACATCCACATTTCTACCTTGATCCTGCTTATAAGTTCTGAAGAATCTTACATGGTACAGAGAAGATTCCTGTAAACATGATTTAGCCTCTGGCAGAGAAAAGCAGGTGGTTTGGTGCCTGTGTTAGGAATCAATAGCTGAGATGTTAACCCTAGTCTCGCACCTGTCTTACTGCAGAAGTGAAAACGTTGCTACATTGTTTCGCATCCGTGTTACGTCTTTAACATAATGTTAAACATTGCTACTTTCCTAGAAGTATGGGAAGGATGAAATTAACTTTGAAAAAGAGAGTGTATGGTTTACCAGAGACGAGACAGGACACTGCTCAGCACTTCGGTGACGGTGAACCTATAGAACTTACCTTCCATCTTCAGCTGACAGACCAGGTAGTAGACCACTTGACTCACAAAAGGTTTATTTTTACTGTCTCCGTATCTCCATTCTTCATCGTCATCTTCTCGAGCTTCTGTAAACAAATTCAGAAGAGCAGGTCACAGTAAGCAAATGGCACTTTGCACAAGACCAAATCAGTGTCCAGTCATAGCACGAGGACACAAAATATTCTCATTGGAAGAATGCGATACTATGATGGGAATGTTCAAACGGGGCCCTAGATTCGGTTGCCTCAGAAGCAGATGAGCCTGCTCTTCAGATCCATGGGACAAAAATCTGTCTCATCTTGTAGATCCCCATCCCATATCTTCTGACTTAAGTCAGTGCAAACGATTAAAACATTTATTCCAAAACCTTCAGAACTTCCCGATTGCTTTCCAGAAGGGCTGCTACAATACTGATCTAGCTCATCCCGTATCACGGTCAACAAAGGGTTAGAGAAAAGTATACAGAAGACTGGACCGAGGGGATGTATTTTAACAACGTCTACTTAAAAAAGAATCTGTGGAGCCGGCATGGTGGCTCATGCTCGGAATCCCAGCACTTTAGGAGGTCTAGGAGGGCAGATCCCTTGACCTCAGGAGTTCGAGCTCTGCCTGGCCAACATGGATAATCTCCGCCTCTACATCAAACACAAACAGTAGCCAGGCGTGGTGGTGCCAACCGGGGATCCCAGCTAATTTGGAGGCTGAGGAACCAGTACCAGGGTACTTCCTGCTCTTGATGGAGCCACTTACACATACCACAGATTCTATCAAGAGCAGGATCCCCTTTCAGTTCCTCACAGGAGGTACTGTCTGCTATCACTGTTTCCCCCAGTGTCCCCAACACAGCTTTGCCTGCTGGGCCTCAGCAGAAACCGGAACACAATGGAAGTTCAGCAGCCTCAGACATTTAGACCAACAGACTAGATGCTACTTCTCTGCAGGATCTTATACTATACAGAGAGGATTCCTGTAAACATGGATTTAGCCTCTTGCTGAGAAAAACAGGTGGTTCCATGCCTGTGTCAGAAATCCATAGCTGGGATTGTGACCCCAGTCCCACACCCACCTTACTGCAGACATGGAAAAGTTGCTAAACACTTTGGCCTCTGTCTTCCATCTTTAACCAAATGGTAAAATACCCATTTCTATTTTCTAGGAGTATGGGAAAGATGAGATTAACTTTGAGGAAGAAAGCGGTCAGTTTCTCGAGACGAGGCAAAACATCGTTCATCACTTTTGTGGAGGTGAACCTAAGGAACTCACCATATGTCCTCAGCCGGTAGTTCAGGGAGTAGTCCACCTCACTCAGAAGACATCTATTTCGGCGGACTCCGACAACCGGTTTGTTATCTTTCCACTGGGAACAGGATTTCTCAATGGCTTCTGGAACGTTCACCCCTTGAACTGTTCCAGCAACAGCCCTGCCAGATGCCACCGTGATGACATTTGGGGCAGAACACGGAAAGCCAGGGACTGGAAAGAAGAAACCCAAACACATGATGGGTTAGAAATTGGTGACGTCAAATTGGTTTAATCAGGACTGAGGGATGTCACTGACAGCCTTGCCTATTCATTTGAAGATGTTATTTCCCCGAATTACTCTTCTCACCTGCACTCTCGATCACCCTAAAGTCAACTTGTCTTAGCTACTCATTGACCTTGAAGCCAGGACATTCACATTTCTACCTTGATCCTGCTTATAAGTTCTGAAGGATCTTATATGGTACGGAGAAGATTCCTGTACACATGATTTAGCCTCTTGCAGAGAAAAGCAGGTGGTTTGGTGCCTGTGTTAGGAATCAATAGCTGGGATGTTAACCCCAGTCTCGCACCTGTTTTATTGCAGACGTTGAAATGTTGCTAAATAGTTTCGCCTCCATGTTACGCCTTTAACAAAATGTTAAAGACGTAACATTGCTACTTTCCTAGAAGTATGGGAAGGATAAAATTATCTTTGAAAAAGAGAGTGTATGGTTTCTCAGAGACAAGACAGGACACTCCTCAGCACTTCCATGATGGTGAACCTATAAAACTTACATTCCGTCTTCAGCTGACAGGACAGGTAGTAGACCGCTTGACTCACAAGAAGTTTATTTTTGCTGTCTCCGTATATCCATTCTTCATCATCATCTTCTCGATCTTCTGTAAACAAATTCAGAAGAGCAGGTCACAGTAAGCAAATGGCACTTCACACAAGACCAAATCAGTGTCCAGTCATAGCACGAGGATGTGAAATAGTCTCAATGGAAGAATGCGATACTATGATGGGAATGTTCTAACGGGTCCTAGATTCGGTTGCCTCAGAAGCAGATGAGCCTGCTCTTCAGATCCATGGGACAAAATCTGTCTCATCTTGTAGATCTCAATCCCATATCCTCTGACTTACGTCAGTGCAAATGATTAAACCTTTTTTCTGAAATCTTCAAAAATGGCCCTAACTGCTCTCCAGAAGCATTGCTGCAATACAGAGTTATCTCATCATATATCATGGTAAATAAATGGTTAGAAAAATTTACATAGGAGACTGGACTGACGGATGAATTCTAACAACCTTTACTTAAAAAAGAATCCATGGAGGCAGCCCAGTGTCTCACACCTGGAATTCCAGCACTTTAGCAGGCCCAGGGAGGGAGATCACTTGACCTCAGGAGTTGAAGACAAGCCTGGCCAACATGGTGAAACCCCACCTCTAACAATACAAAAATTGGCCATTTGCGGTGGTGCCCACCAGGGATCCCAGCTAATTAGAAGGCTGAGGCACCAGTACCAGGGTACTCCCTGCTCTTGATGGTGCCACATACACATACCACAGATGTTATTGGAGCAGAGCCCCCTTCAAGCTCTTCACAGGAGATATTCTGTGCTATCACCATGTTTCCCCCAGTGTCCTGAGAACAGAGTTTTGCCTACTGGGCCTCAGAAAACCAGAACCAAATGGAAGTTCAGTTGCCTTAGACATTTTGACCAACAGACTAGAGGCTACTTGTCGGCAGGATCTTATACTGTACACAGAGGATTCCTGTAAACATGGGTTTGGTCTCTTGCTGAGAAAAACAGGTGGTTCTGTGCCTGTGTCAGAAAATGATAGCTGGGATTGTGACCCCAGTCGTACACCCACCTTACTGCAGATGTGGAAAAGTTGCTAACTACTTTGGCTTCTGTCTTCATCTTTAACAAAATGTTAAAGTACCCATTGCTAATTTCTACAGGTATGGGAAGAATGAAATTACTTTTGATGAAGAGAACTGTTAGTTTCTCAAAACAACACAGGACATCATTGATCACGTTCGTGGTGGTCAACCTATCGAACTTACTGTCTGTCTTCATCCGGTAGTTCTGGAAGTAGGCCACCTGGCTCAGAAGAAGTCTGTTTTTGCTGGCTCCGACATTCGGCTTGTTTTCTTCCTGTTGTGAGCCGGATTTCTCAATGCCTTCTGTAATGTTCTCCTCTGGGATTCTTCTAAAAGGAGGTCTGCCAGATGCCACCATGTTGACTTTTGGGGCACAACACAGAAAGCCAGAAACTGGGGCAAAGAAACCCAAACATATAATGGGTTAGAAACTGAAGATGTCAAGTTGGTTTAATCACGACTAAGGGATGTCACTGACAGCCTTGCCTATTGCATATGGTGTTTCCCTGCTTTTACTCTCATCTCCACTCTTGATCTCCTTAAAGTCAACTTGTCTTAGCTACTCAGTGACTCTGAAACCAGGATATAAACGCTTCTACCTTTATCTTGCTTATATGTTCTGAAGGATCCTATGTGTTAGAGAGAATTCCTGACAACGTGATTTAGTCTCTTCCTGAGAAAAACAGGTGGTTCTGTGCCTGTGTCAGGAATCGTTAGCTGCGTTATTAACCCTAGTCCGACACCCACCTTACTGCAGATGTGGAAGCGTTGCTAAATGCCTTGGCCTCTGACTTCCATCTTTACCATAATGTTAAAATACCCACTGCTATTTTCCTAGAAGTATGGGAAGGATTAAATTAACTTTCAAGACGAGAGTGTGTAATTTCTCAGAGATAAGACAGGACATTGTTCAGCACTTCCGTGATGGTGAACCTATAGAACTTACCTTCCGTCTTCAACCGGCAGCCCAGGTAGTAGGCCACTTGACTCAAAAAAAGTGTATTTTTGCTGTCTCTGTATTTCTGTTTTTCGTCATCTTTTCGATCTTCTATAAACAAATTCAGAAGAGCAGGTCACATTAACCAAATCACACTTCACACAAGACCAAATCAGTGTCCAGTCATAGCACAAGGACTTAAAATACTCTCAGTGTAAGAATGTGTTATTCTGACAGTAATGTTCTAATGGGCCCTAGACTAAGTCACCCTAGAAGTGGATGAGCCTGTTTTTCAAATCCATGGGACAAAATTTCCCTCATCTGGTAGATCTTAATCACTTATCCTCTGACCTAAGCCAGTGCAAAAATTCAAATGTTTCACCCAAAATCTTCCAAAAATTGCTCTAAATATTTTCCAGAAGCACTGCTGCAATACTGATTTATCTCATCATATATTATGGTCAATTCATGGATAGAGAAATTTATATAGGAGACTGGACCAACTGATGAATTCTAACAACTGCACCAACTGATGAATTCTGGAAAAAGAATCTGTGGAACCACCATGGTGGCTCGTGCCTGGAATCTGAGCAATTTAGGAGGCACAGCAGGGCAGATCCCTTAATCTCAGGAGTTCAAGACCAGCTTGGCCAACATCATGAAACCCCATCTCTACTAAAAATACAATAGTAAGCCAGGTGTGCTGGTGCCCACTGGAAATCCCAGCTAATTGGGAGGTTGAGACACCAGTACCAGGGTACTCCCTGCTCTGGATGTCACTTACACATACCACAGGATCTATTAGCAGCAGTGTCCCCTTCAAACTCCTCACAGTGGGTACTGTCTGCTGTCACTGTGTTTCCCCCAGTGTCCCCAGAACACACCTTTGCCTACTGGGCCTCAGCAGTCTCCGGAACCTAATGGAAGTTCAGTAGTCTCAGACATTTAGACCAACAGACTGGATGCTACTTGTCTGCAGAATCTTATACGGTACAGAGAGGATTCCTGTAAACAGGATTTAGCCTTTTGCTGAGAAAAACAGGTGGTTCTGTGCCTGGGTCAGAAATCAAGAGCTGGGATTGTAACCCCAGTCCCTCACCCACCTTACTGCAGATGTGGAACAGTTGATAAATACTTTGGCCTCTGTCTTCCATCCTTAACTCAATGTTAAAATACCCATTGCTATTTTCTACAAGTATGGGAACCATGAAATTAATTTTGATGAAGAGAACCGTTAGTTTCTAGAGAGAAGACAGGACATCACTCAACAGTTTCATGGTGGTGAACCTATACAACTTACTGTCTGTCTTCAGCTGGTAGTTCTGGAAGTAGGCCACCTGGCTCAGAAGAAGTCTATTTTTGCTGTCTCTGAAACGTGGTTTGGTCTCTTCCTGCTGGGTGAAGGAATTCTCAACGATATCAGGAAAGTTCACCTCTGTGGTTTGCCTGGAACACGCCCTGCCAGGTGCCGCCATGGTGACATTTGGGGCACCCAGGCACAGCCAGGGACTAGGGAGAAGAAACCCAAACACAGGATGGGTTAAAAACTGGAAATCAAATAGGTTTAATCAGGACCGAGGAATTTCAATAACTCAAATTCCTAACTTACTATTCAGAAGAACAATCCCTCCTCACAGAATGTTAGGGTCCTTAACTGCCAAAACAATGTAGGAAACGCTTGAGCTCAGAGCTGAAGGTGCTGCCTCTAGCTCAGACTCTCACAAGAGTGTGGGAGACAGGGCCGATGTCCCAGGTAACGGGCTGCTGTTGCAATAATAGAATTATAAGCTGGGCGTGTCACGGAATCTTCATTCCAACTGCCCAGGGTTTGCTAAAACTCAGGCCTACTAGTCTCACCTGAGCTCACAACCAATGGGGAACCGTTCCTCTATCAGTCACTCTCAGTATTTGTCTACCCTTGTGACAATGCCACAGTCCCATCTCATTCCCAATATATCTAAGCATGTGCCTCATTTTTTTCATCTCTTCTGTGTATAAAATCATCAAGGCAGAAACAGTTTCCCAACATGTGATATTGTCTTAATGCTAGTCATGAAGTCAGTCATCCCTCCTTCTCATATGTTAAAACAGAATTGGAGGCTTTTCCATGAGTTTAACATATCAGCCTATTACACTGCCATGAAATCCTCTGACTCTCCTGCAGTTTTTTCTGTATCCACTAGAGACTGAATGAGGAATTCATTTTGTTAATGAATTAAAATGCTTTCTTTCCTGGCTCAGTATTCCTCTTGCTGCATCCCATGGTTATGCTGATTTATATTTTCTTACTATCAGATATCACAACACTGATATTTGGGGCAGAAGAGACTTTTCATTACACTTAAGACCAGTTTGATGTCCCTACATTTAAAGCTTCCTCTGTGGGATGATTAATTTTCTAATGTGACTGAACACTACATCTCATTCTTGTCACTTATAAATGGCAATTTAGTCCCAGAAGAGTTCTTTTCAAGGTGTCAAGTCATTAAAATCATTTCTATGGAGATCTCCTGAAAGCGTATGTGACCATCTATCTTGGGAAGTCTGGTAAACCTGGTATGATTTTGTTGTTTTCATTTCATGTTGTCCACATATTGAAAACAACAGGGCCATGAGCGGTCCTTATGGAATACTGTTGGACACATATTTTTCTGAGTTGGTCTAATGCCATTGATGTGTGGTTATATCCCACTAACCAAACCCGGTAAGAGCAAGGTGATGGTCGGGTGGTTGGTGGTCCTCCGTGTTGCTGTGCAGTAGAAGGGGAATTGGAGATGACAGGACCGAGTAGGAAGAGTGATCCCTGAGCCTCCTCCTCACTTTCTCAGCTTTCATCGCCACCCAGGTTTTGGGAGCCTGGGACTTGGGAGGCTGTTCTGTAGCCCAGGTCTCCTATGTTTGGCTGCTTCCTGGGCTTGCTGTCGAGGGTGCAATGGGTGTGACCCTGGGCTGCCCAGCATTCATGTGGAAGTGAAGCAAGGAGGACTGGATCGATCCCATTGCAAAGCGTGCCTCTCTACAGCCCCATCATCCTCCAGCAACACTGTGAGCACACCGCTTAGAGATACATCAAAGGCTTTATGTATATGCATGCTCTGGTGTCTGAGAGGCGTGACATTCTCTGGCAGAAGCAAAATCTGTCAGATTTCTTCACTATAAAAATGATGAAACTGAAGGTTCACAAAGTTATGTGGCTTACTTCAGGTCACACAGGGAGGAGTTTTGAGCAGTGCCAATAAAAGCAATCACAACAATTATTCCATAATGATTCATAGAATCCATGTCATTCAGTAAATATTCATATAATTATTCACTACTTGTTTGTTGACCAATCTCTACCAGGCATTTTGCTCAAAACTGTGCACATATTTGGACAGTATATCTTCATCAGAATCCTCAAGGTAACGCTGTAATCCTAAGAATCAGGTAAGAAACCTGAACAAGAGGGCTAGCAAATCATGAATTTGGCCATATTTCCATTTTCTGGTTTCTGTGATGCTGGACAAATGACCAGAATGAGTCACTGCAAGACTATTCATCCCTGTATCATTTTCCAGGACACAGATGTGTCCTCCAAGTATATTGGGACCAAAATTCACAAGTGTCTACAACCTTGCTTTAACAGCATGGAAAAAAGCCTCTATTTTTCATGGAATTAGACCTGGAATTTCCCTGGACCTTTGGAATATACAAGAGAAGGTCTATATCTTTGTCCCCATCAGTGCCACTCAGTTCTCCCAGTATGACCTGACCATGCCCCTGCACTTACCCTCCTGCTCAACCATCTCCATGCACCGTCCAATTCCATCAGTTATTCAGGCTCCTCCCAAGGCTCCCTGAAATAGGTACAGGTCTCAGGACATAACACACATTCCAGGAACAAAAGCAGCCCATATTATAAGGCAAGCAGCTGTGTTCCCGCTTCCCTGAAGTTGGCAGTGATGTCCTAGGGCAGGAAGAAACACTTTCTCTTATTAGGGGGTCTCTTCCTCATGTCTCAGGGCCTCTGATCTAGTGAACACAACTGTCCTGAAAGTGAATGAACTTGCTAAATTCCTGGTTTCTTGCTAGGTGGCTAGAATAGTTATAAGACTTCCTTACTTCCCCATGTTTGCTGAAGTCTGAATACTTACCAGTATGACTCCTTTTCTTGTAAGGGGTAGCTTAGAAAAGACTGGCCCCATTGCCATGCAAAGAGAGGTAAAGTGAATTTCTACTCAAAGCAACCTTGAATTTGAAACTAGGTCTTCCACTGTTTCAAAGCTGGCCTGTAGGTCCAACTGTCACATATTTGGACATATATCTTCATCAGAATCCTCAGGCTTGTGTCCTCAAGAGCTTGTGTGTCTGCTGTACTTAGCATAAAGTTATTTCTCATTATGGTAAGTTATAATTAACTTGCCACAATATAATTCATTACCAAGATAGTTATTTATCACTATGGCAAGGACAAATTTAGAAGAGTTATTAAATTTACTTCTTTATCTCCCCAGCTGGAAACAGTCCATAGCTACTGATATCATCAGTGTCCTCTGAATACCTTGGCTGTGTTAACTGCTTTGACTCAACATGGAGCTGAGGTGTTGGTGTACTGTATGTTGAGAGGCTGAAATATGGCTAAAGTCCAGGATCACTGGCCCAGGACATCCACTGAGTTCATCTCATGAGACCTGGGCCTGGCTTCCACCATCACTACACTTCTCATGAATCACCAGTCACTAGACTGAGAATTCTGTGAAACATGGGATCCTATTTTACTCATCTCTGGTCATGATCCTTAGCTAAGGGCCCAGCACAGAGGGGCCTCTCAGCAGTGCTCATCCATGACTGAATAAAATAAATTACAAACCTCCAACCCTTTCACCTACATTTCTGTCCCCAATGTCTTGTAAGGGATGCTCTTTCTCTCAGAATGCTGCAAATCCTTCCCTAGAGAGGTGCCTGCCCTACACCATCCCTGCCGCAGGATCCTCTCCTGTGGGAGCTTCAAGGAAGACTAGTCTGTCCTGAAAATGTTCTCTTATGCCTCCCCCTGTCATTAGGAGTAATGTCCTTTGACATACACTCCCGTCCTCCGGGCTGCCACAACACCTCAGTTGGGTAGCACTACCGTGTCTTGTTGAAATGATCTGTTTGTGTTCTTCCACTCACTGGCTTGAGTTTCTTTAGAGAGACATTAAATACCTGAATCCCAAGTGCTTAGCACAGTATAAAGAAAATTAAATACTCAATAAATATTTATGAGAAACTTCCCTCAACTGAATGTGCAGAGGAATATTAATATCACTGCTTCATATACAAGCAAGGGACACATACTCTGGCACCTGACCTAGGGCAGAGCTGTTTGATATAAGAATGAACATCTCCAACCCTTCTCCACACATGGTTATTCCCTCTAACTCACTCTGACCTGAAGAGCATCCACTGCTACGGCAGCACCGATCCTGATGCTCCTGGGTCTGGGGAGTGTTCATCCATGACTGAATAAAACTGATTACAAACCTCTGACCCTTTCTTGGAGTTGAAGCTGCCCCTCATTATAAACCAGCTCTGATCTAACCTGTGGCTCTCCTTGGCCAGAGGCAGGAGATTCCTGTCGAGTAAGTTTCTCTCAGACCCCACTGCTCAGCTCACGCTGCTCCTTGAGGGTTTAAATGATCATAGGCATTGCCCATTTCCCCTCAGGCTTCTGTCCTGCTCTGTCCTTATTCTCCCCTTCTTTGGTTTTCACTTACCAATGGCTTCTCCTTTGTGGATTATTCTCATCCCCTAAACCTGCTGACTTTCTTTCTTCCACCTGTTCCCCCAGCTCTGGGATTCCAGCGTGTACTCAGCTAAGGCTCCTGCAGGAGACACACAGGGTCAGGTCTCAGCTGAAGCTCCCAGGCAGTATTGAAAAGCATCAATTCCTCAGAAGCTCAGAGAAAACAGAGCAGGAAGGGACCTCAGAGAGGTACAATAAGCCTCTACCTTACTGATGAGGAAACACTAAAGCCCAGAAACACTGACACTCTCCCAGGCTCCCTCCCTCACCACTTGGTGGCAGCAGATCCATCACACAAGTCTTGCCCTCAGCCTCCTTGTGCAGAGCAGGTAACTCACCCTCCAGAAGCTCGCTGCTGCCATTCAGAAAACTTTAGATGAAAAATAGCAATTTCCACTGTGGAAACAAAAACAGTAAAAGGACCTTTCCTTGGACAAACCCTTTATCACAGTTCTATAGTCCTGGCCTTTATACTTGGTCAGTTGTCATTCACTGGCTGCTAGATTGGGGCAGGGAGCACATAGGATTAAATAGTGTTTTACACAACCCTGCTTTCCCTGCCTGGGCTCTCAGCTCCTTCATTCTCCTTCAGAAACTTCCTTCTGCTGTATCTGCTGGAGAGTCCAGGCCCTCCTGTGGGTCATTTCTCCATGAAGATCCCTGTTATTTCTTCCTGTCTTGGAGGTAGAGAGGGCAGAGATTTGTTCTGGGACTCCATAGTCTTAGGTTTTCTCCTAAGCCAGCCAGGGCAGCTGAAAGCAATCATGACAGAGAGGTCAGGTGTGTGAAGAGGAGCACAGGCTCACAAGGACAGCCCCTCGTGGAGATGGTCAGGACCGTGACACAGGCAATGTCTGACCAATTCTGCGTGGGATGATGCAACAAAAATTAAGTGGAGGATGCTGCCACGAGGAGAAAGGGGAAGAACCAAAAAGTAGCAGGAGAAGGAAAATAAAATGTTTCAAATAATGATAGAAAAACATGCAGAGCCCGGAAGCAAAGCCCCCTGTCACAGAGGGTTAGTTCCAGGATGTGCAGCCTAATCAAGAAATCCTGGCTGGACTTTGCTCAGCCCCATGTCAAAATGGTTTTGGATCAGTGACTTTGTTCCCTCCACTTTCCCTCTTTTTGAACAAGAATCACTAGCAGTGTTATTCTGTGACTGTCCCACCATTGCACACTGAGGACAGATAAGCTGTTTGTTCAGTTTCATGGGTCAACAGGGGTAAGGGAATTATATCAAGGATCTGTACTTGGCCTGGGCATGGTGGCTCATGCCTGAAATCCTAGCACCTTGGGAGGCTGAGGGGGACAGCTCCTGAGGTCAGGAGTTTCAGACTAGCCTGGCCAACAGGGCAAAACCCCGTCTCTACTAAAAATAAAAAAATTTAGCTAAATGTAGTGGTGCATGTCTATATTTCCAGCTACTCAGGAGGCTGAGTCAGGAGAATCCCTTGAACCCAGGAGGCAGAAGTCGCAGTAAGCCAAGATTGCACCACTGCACTCCAGCATGGGTGACAGACCAAGACTCACTCTCAAATAAAAGGAATCTGTACTTAACAGACACCCTCAGAAGACTCATTCACACTTAATATAGATGATTTAAATAAGATTTTAAACTTTTGATCAGATTAAAGCTACATGACATTTTTCACTTTGAACTAATGTATAATGACATCAAACTTGGAAACCTTAGGTGAGAAGGTGAATGTATTTTGCATCTGTGAGGAACGTGAATGTCTGGGGACCATAAGTTGAATTGTGATAGGTGGAATTTCCAAAATGGTCTCCAAACATGTTGTACCCTTATCTCTGGAAACTTTTAAGCTGATGAGACATTCCTGTGATTACGCTGTTACATGGCAGTCACATGACTTTAAAGAGTGATATGGTTTGGCTCTCTGTCCCCACCCAAATCTCATGTTGAATTATAATCCTGAGTGTTAGAGGTGGGGCCTGGCAGAAGGTTACTGGATCCTGGGGATGGTTTCTAATGGCGTAGCACCATCCCCCAAGTGCTGGTGCATGACAGAGTTTCCATGAGATCTGGCTCTTTAAAACTATGTAGCACTTCCCCTTTCTCTCTCTCTCTCTGGCTCTTTAAAACTGTGTAGCACTTTCCCCCCTCTCTCCCCCCACCCTCTATCTCTGTCCTCTGCCAGCCCACAGAACCGTGACCTACTTAAATCTCTTTTCTATGTAAATCTCAGCCTCAGGTCATTATAGCATTGCAAGAACAGACTAATACCAAGCCTGAGCTTTCCTGAGTGGGCCGGATCTAATCACACCCCTCCCTAAGTGTCACAGATTTCTCTAGTGGGTAGGAGAAGACAAAGTCAGAGAGAGGATGGGAGCTGGAGAAGTATTCCAAGAGCTGTTGTTGGTTGGAAGATGGGGAAAGCGAGAAAGAATGCAGGTGGCCTCTGGAGTCAGAGTGTCTTCAGGCTGAGAGCCAGGAGGAGGAGGACTGCAAAAGGATGTTAGTCCTCCACCCACAAGAACATGGATTCTGCCAATACATCTGTAGTGAACTTGGAAGAGTAGCCTGAGCTCTAGATGAAAAACACAGGCAGCACATAACTGGATTTCAGCCTCCTAAGACCCCGATCAGAGAAACCAATCATTCCTGATTTCTGTGTTTTCAAACCACTAACTTGTTATAATGTGTTAATAGGTAGCAACAAAAACTAGTTACAGGTGCCTAACTGTACTCTTTTTATATTTTCACATACATATATGCTAATCCCTATAGGCACAAAAAAAAAAAAAAAGCAAAGAACTACAGTATAATGTGATGCTTACCTTTACGGGAGCACTGCAAGGGCTGTTCCGGAGCCCTTGCAACTTGAAGATAACGTAGGGCATTTCAGGCAGGTGAGAAGCGTCTCTTCAATGTTACCAACCCAATCTCTGAAAGAAAAAAGATGGTAAAATACTTAACTCCCA